ATTCCTGCTAGTGACTAGTGTCCAATCCCACTGCTTACTCTTCTCAGCATCTTGTGCTTCTGCCAAACTCTGCAGGTTCCAACATGCCCCACAGCAGCTCCGGCTGTTCACCACATTAAAACTCCCTTCGTGGTCAGGTTGTGTCCAGCTGCTCACGGGTTTATTATCACTGGTCCTCACAAAGGGGAAACAGGAGATGTGTTCTCTAGATATTTACAGGGTATTGGCAATCAAGCAGCTGCATGTGGATGAGCAGGGTCCTGGTAGAGGTTACAGACAGCACACTTGGTGCTCACCTGTGTAGCTCCCTCTCACCCTCACCCTGCTGTAAGAGTGTTCCAACACCAAATCCAATCCCCTACTGCAGTTACCCAGCACTGAAAGATCCTGAAGGATGGTGGATCAAGAGGAACGTGAGCAGCAGCTCAGGGAGGGGATCCTGCCCCTCTGCTGTGCTCTGGGGAGACGCCCCCTGCAGCCCTGATCCAGCTCTGGGGCAACAGCACAAGAGGGATGTGGAGCTGCTGGAGCAAGGCCAGAGGAGGCCACGGAGCTGCTGCGAGGGCTGGAGCAGCTCTGTTCTGGAGCCAGGCTGAGAGAGCTGGGCTGGGGCAGCTGGAGAAGAGAAGGCTCCTGAAGGGGACACCTTAGAGCAGCTCCAGTGCCTAAAGGGGCTCCAGGAAACCTGGAAAGGGGCTTTGGACAAGGGCCTGGAGGGACAGGACAAGGGGAATGGCTTTAACCTGCCAGAGGGGAGACTGAGATGAGCTCTGAGGCAGAAGCTCTTTAGATATATTAATTAGATATTAGGAAGGTGATCTTTAATGTCCCTTCCAACCCAAACCAGTCTGTCATTGTACGATATTAAGTAGAATAAGAGGAAATAACCCAGACTGAGCCACTTGAGCTGCCTTTCATGTTACTAAAGATAACCCACATGTGGATGCATTCCTGTTTAAAAACAAATCACTTCCAGTGGAACACCCCAGTACAATCAGTCACTCAGTTACAACTTAGGAGGTCTCCACCTGTGCTTTGAAGTAAAAACAACACCTAGAGGAGCAGCAGCAGCAACAGGTTAATGGCTGTGTAATATTTCAAGCTGCAAATATCTATTTGCTTGCACAGACCCTAAGAGACAAGCTGAGCTGGAGCTGTGTGTATCACAAAAAGAAAGGCACTTTTTAACAAGTCTGACTCCACACGCAGGGGAAAAACCCCACACATAAGTTTCTAATATTGCCAGCTCTTTAAATAGGTTTAGTCTTGTACAAACCCAGCACTCCAGCAGGTATTTTTGCCTGAATGGGTGACTTGTCTCTCCCTGCTCCCATGTTTGCACAGAGATAAAGAGAGGCTTTGGTATGGATTCCTGAGCACATCCTGGTGAGGGGTCTGAAGCAGACCCTGGCTGCAGCAGGCTCAGGTATGTCAAAGCATTTACCCACCTGAAGGGCACAGACCTCAGGGTGCCCCTACCTCCGTGCTGCACTTACCAGGGACACACACACAGACCTTTTCTGTACTCTGCAATAGCTCTACCACATAAGAAAACAAACAGGGTGGGACAGGAGACAGGAATGAGGAAATTCTCTTCAGGGCTTCTTTCTTTCCCTCCTGGTGCTGTCACCCCAGCGCAGAGGAGCCACAGCCTCCGTTTCATGAGCCCTCAAATCCTTAAGGAAAACAGCAAGATTCAGAACTACCCACAGGACTTGTCCTTGGAGCAGGACTGACCTCAGCACTCTGGTAGGCTCTGCTCAGAGGTTTCTACCCCTCCACTGCAATGGAGTACCTTGGAAGCTCAGCAAACCCAGCTGGGGCAGGGAGATGTGCAGCCTCGAGCAGCATCTGACAATAGCAACCTCCCAGCTCAAGCTCAGCATCAGGATGTACTTTCACCCTCCACCCACATGCAAACCAGTGCTGCCTCACCCCCCCCCACACAAGGAAGCCACGTTAGCAACTCCAGGGCACAGGAAAGGAAGGAGAGATGGTATCTTCTGCCAGTGCAACAGAAACAATGGGCAAATGGGCTGGACCTGCTGAGATGCCAAACACAAAGCAGTCTTCTCAAGGAGGTCTTAACCATAATATGATGGGCATTATCAGAAGCTTCACCAGAGTTTCCCAATCTGTTGCTTCTGCCCTGTTAATCCAGCATCCTGCCACA